TATTTTTTTTATAATAAATATATTAAATTTATATGGTTTATTTTTTTTAATTTCTTTTTCATGATAAATGGTATTTTGAATAGTATTTTAACTAAAGTTTGGCAATTAAACCTTAGCCCAGCAAATTAACCTTAGCCCAAAGAAAAACTAATTATTTTCTATTGTTATATTAAATTAATAAACTATAAACATATATAAAAGTCAATTTTCTAAAATATTTGTTTTTTTAGTAAAAACCCGTGTTTTTAAAAAAAAAATAGGAATTTCTTTGGGCTAAAGTACATTTCCTGGGCTAAGGTTCATTTTCCCTACTATAAATATTTAGGTCAGCGACTTTTAAGACAACTAAAAAGTCGGCGATTTTTAAAGGGACTGTAAAGTCGCCGAACAGCTATTATTATTATTTTTATAAGTTATTATTTACAATATAAAAATAAACTATTAATAATAATTTATTATAAAAACACATTCTAAATAATCACATGAATGTAACTTTAAATATAATATGAATTGGTTTCTACAATTCCCGATTTTTTAAAACAAAATAGCCGTATTATATAAAACAAAAATGAAAAACAAAAAATTTACTCTTCTGTTATGCGACTTTATTATGGAATTTTTTATTTTTTTTTATTTTATTTGGTATAATTAATGTAATAATAATTATCAAAAACAATTCTTTTTTTTAATTTTACTTTCAAGGTTTTAAAAAAAAATATAACTTGTTATAATGTACTATACAATAATGTAATTATACTACAAATAACTAGTAAATAAACTCTTAATCAAAGCATCAAAAGTATCTGTTTTTTATATTATTATTATTTCAATAATTTCCTATAATTTTACAATAAAAAGTGGAATTTTTATTTCGTTTTGGTGTTCATAACCGAAAAAACACAAATAAACGGGTACATTAATAAACACCTGAATCAAAAGTATATTAACGATTATGGTTAATAATTCGAATATAATTATCTCAATAAAAAGAAACTGTAATTAACTCATTTGTTTGGAAAGACATGGGGTGTGGTGGGTCCAACGCCAAAGTTATAGACAAGCTAATCCCAACAAATCCCGACTGGAAGTTTTCTGACAGTATTAAAGTTGAAGATAATCGAATAGTACAGTATAAAGATCATGGTTCCCTGTCGTCGTGTGTCGGGAAAAACGTCATCACATCAATCTCCGTGAAAATGATGCCATCGCAATCTTATCTCTTTGTTGGCCTAATGGAGCTTAATGCTTCAAAAAGTTATACGATTAACTCTGATGGGGTGATGAAGAATGCTGGGGTATATGGCTTAGGGATGAAACAAGATGAAGTTATAATGAATGGGGTGACAACGCATTATAAGCGTCCAACTATTAATAACAATGAAACTATAGAATTAAAGTATCAGAACGATAGAATTATGTTTAAAATCAAAAACGAATGGGACTTACTTTATGTGGTAGGCGAAGGAAAACAGTTCGTCTTTGTTTGTGAGATGTGCCATTTACACTCAAGAGTCGAAATACTCGATACTAATAAGGAACTATTAACGGGAACTCCTCCAAAGTAAGGTCTCTTAGAATCTGTTTTATATCAAGTTTTTCGTTGTACAGTTGAATTTGTAATCTAAAGAAATAACAAATTAATAGTATACAGTAGTATATTAATAGTATTTTTTAAAAAAGACTGTTTTTCAATTGTCAAAAATAATGTAAAAACAAAGTTTGTATGTATTCAGAAAAAGATAACAAATTGATTAATCATCGGAAAAATGCTATTAATAATAGTAAAAATAACCATAAATTAAAAATCAATCAAATGATTAGATGATGTTTGTGATTATCTCGTCGAAACGAGCGAGCACTTGGGCGGGGATAATTTGAGGAACTACAGTGTAAGGAAAAGACATTGAAACATTGCAGGAACCATCTGCGATAAGATATGAATGAGTCATGAGGGCCTTTGTGTTTGGGTCGCAGACAACACGGTTACACCCAGAGAATCCAATGGCAGATACCTCTGATAAAACTTGCTTCTCAACTCGGTCCAAAACTTTAAACCCACCCATGTTAGATAATGATATGGTGAATGGCGACATCCCAGCAGTGAAATTACCATTGTAAATTCCATCTCGGAATCTGTTGAACAGCGGAGTGGACATGGAATCTACACTTAGGACATATGTGGTCAACTCGGTCGCCATCTCGAGAACTGATTTGGAGAGGAAATTGAGTGGGAACAATGGGTATAAAGCCTCGGCCATGACGCCGATGGTTTCTTGTTTGGTATTTGGAAGCAACTTTCTCGTGTCGTATGGTATCATGAACGCAACGGTGTCTGCTTCGTTCGCGTTTGTTTTTTCGAACAATTCGTCATACGTTTTCAGCAGTACAGAAATGAAGAATGCTTGAACGGAGAGGTTGTTAGTTTTACAATACGAAATTATTTTGGCGACTTTCTCAGGACTCAGATTGAGGGTGTGTGAGACAACACAATTTTGGATGTATTTTGAAGTTTGGGAGACTTCAAGTTCCTTCGTTTTTGCGTCTGCGTTTTTGATGTGGGAAAAGTCGTATTGCAAAACACATTTTGGGAGGTTTTTGTTGATCGCCTCTCTGTCAACTTTGAGAAGATTGTTTTCCACAAGATGTGGATACTCAGAAACAAATTCTCTAATTGGGGTTTTGGTCTTAAAAAGGTGGTTCAAAAGCGATTCCATCAAATATGTTAGTGACTTAAAATCTGTTTTTGAGTGGCATATAAACAGGGAGAAGATGGTGTAGTTAGTTTTGTCGCAACAGATTTCTGAGTAAACCAAAAGAGAGGTCTTTTCTTTTCCAACTGTTCTTGTTTTTGCGACTTCAATTGAAACTTCTCGTGTTATACTGTCGACTGCTGTTTGAATTGTTTTAATTTCGTACGACTTCTGAAGTTCAATTTTCATTGGTTTCAGTGAGGAAAGTTGTTCTGCGGTGAGTTTTGTTTCTGGAGGGAGTTCGTAGTCAAAACAATATGGGTAGTCGGTCAAGAACGCCTCATATGCGGCGTTAATTTCATCTTCGTTAAACACATGGCGGAGCACAAAAACACTCATCATCCCAAGATTTTTTGCGATTTCTTCGTACATACTCTTCATGATTTTATATTGTTTTATGCAGATCTGTATTACCCAAACCAAATTGATGTTTGTACCTTTGATGTTTTGGTTAACCCAAATATTATTGTTATTTTCTAGTTCAAATTTGATGTTTTAGACAGATCTCAAATTGATTAGAATTTCAAGATTTTGAGCAATATTACAGTCTAAATGAAGTTCACGGCGTATGAAGACAGTTGGTATTTTTGCACCAATTGGCTGTGTTATTTGCTTTAAACTATTTCCGATTCAAGTGACGTTGTTTACCGCTATAATCGTTGCCAGAGGTGAGCAGCCCCACCGGACCAAAGCTTAATGAAAATTGCCGCAATGTCTTTGACCAACACAGTATAGTATTTATTTAGCAAAATTACCATTAAAAGTATAGTTAAAGAACGACCCCAAAAAATCTATGAAAAAATCCGAGTTTTATTCTGGCAATTAAAGATTCAATGTTCTCTAACCCAACCTTTCGTGGACCTTTGTTTCACAAATCAAAAATTTTATGATAAGTAACAAAAATAGAAATTGATTTAAAAATAGAAGATCTATATTTAATTCGTTTTTCTTCAAAAAAAGTCTAAATTTGCTCTCTCAAAGTTTTTTGTTTTCGAAAAAGATAGTTACGCTATAAACTATATACAATGGTTTGTATACTATAATTTTAACTTTTTGAAAAGACGATACGAAAAACCATTTTTTGAAATTCTGAAGAATTCAATAAATTCAAAAACCAACAAACACCGAAATCGTGATGAGATTTCTTATAATTTGTTAAACAAAATTAACCTTCATTGAGTACATATTTCAATAAGATTTTCTTATTCAAAAAAAATAAAGAGACCAAATAGGTTTCAGGATGGTTTAAATTGTTCAAGATGTCAGTAACCGCGAGATTTGATTGGTATTAATTATCTCTGTGTTTTTCTAAGTCAAAAGTCTCTGTTGGGAAACACAAAAAATGTTTATTGAACACTTAAGTGCAACTCAAAGTTTGTTGGTTTTCTTTCTATTCCCAAATTTATTATCAAATTACTCTTAGAGACACAGAAGGAAAAAAGTGAGTATAAGTTTTTCGTAAGTCATTGCGGAGGTCATCACAAAGACAAGCCATTTCTTTCTATTCACACAAGAAAATATTACTTTTGAGCAGTTCAGTGTTTGTTGAGCAAGGCAATTATTTTATTCTAATTAAAATTGATAAATACTAAATTGATTCAACTCCACTTATTGTTGAGTTAGATGTGTTATATTTGACAAGAAGCAGGAACCGTTATTGGGCTCTGACATGCGGAACTCATACAATTGAAAAATTCTTTGGAAGAATTAAAAAAATACCCATCTCCGGTATAATTGTAATAAGAGCGTCTTTGACTCTAAAAATGCAGGAAGTGCAAGATGCTCCCAAAATAATAAAAAGATTTTCGCAAGACGGTCGACTTGTTCAAACCAGTGTTGGGCTTCGGGATATCGGGACGAGTATTGAAAGTGTTGTTATTGTTGGACGTTTCCAGTTTTAGAATGTTAATTGATATAAAGGCCGCAGTACCCCTAAAGTACGGGATAACCTCCATGTTGTATATATAGAGGTAGTTCTATTAATACGTAGATTTTATAAGGGTGTGCTTTTAATATCTAGGCAAGAGATCCGATTTGGTTCCACGCCGACACACGTTACAGTTCTTAGTTCTTCCACTTATCGACTTATTACAATGAACAATTAAATCAATTCATTTGAAAGAATGGAACACAACAAGCGTATTTGCACAAGACAAAAATTATTGAACAATTTATAGCGCGCACTAAATATGAATCACTCAAAATACCAAAAAACGACAATTTCTTGCCGTCGTAAAAATACGTCTTCCCAGGAGTGCATGTCTATAATTATACATCCGGAATATCCCGTTTTTAATAGCTAGTTCCTCCTATATAAAAAATAGAAAAAAACACGTATTGCAGTTCTAATATTAACACAGGAAGCTTCCTCTCTTCTATAAAAAGTTCCATGTCTGTCTTAAACTGAAAAACCCAACCAAATCCTCAAAAAAGTCGTTTTTTTCTCACACAATTCATCAATAGGCATATTCCCATAGTTTCAGGCGATATATACGAACCCCCATTCTTTCTTCTTCAATCAATTTTTCACGGCAAAAAAGGGGCGAGTGCCAAGAAAAAGCATTAAAATAGAAAACGCAGTTTGAAGAGTGATAAAAATAGGGGAGGGGTACTTCACGTCCAAAAATGGGAGATGATCATTCCAAAGCCAAACTGCTTCTACCCTGTCATTCGTTCATTTTCACATTAAAACGAGCCGCCCAAACTTGTTAATCATGTCATACACTACCGATTGCAATCAATCCTTCTTCAAGTCGAAGAATGAGTACAAAGAGTTCTACGTCATTCAGCAAGGCGTTCTTCTTGCCTTCATCAACTCGTACTGTGGCTTTTCAATTAAGAAGCAGAAGAAGCGAGCCAAAGTGACTTCGGCGTACCCGAAGATCTCAAAATTGGTCTTTCCGAATGAGACAATTGACGTCCAACAACTCGCAGACTCGATATGTCGCCCAGTCTATGAAGAAGAGTGCAAACACGTCTCAAAGAAACAAACGGCGATGCGACGCTTCGAGAAGAACAAAAAGGTCTTTGTCCAACATCTCCTCATCGACATCTTAAGCGAAAAGGGGTTCTTCTTCGAGTCACATCTTGCACGTAATTCTACAAAGACTTATCGAATGGAACGAATCGAAAGAATTTACTTCGACGGAAGACTTGTCATGCAGTTCGAAGACTTTGTGAAGAGAGGAAGTGCTATTAATAACTACCTCAATTCCCTCTTTTTGGGTACTTCAGTATTCGTCCCTATTTGCTCAGACAAACTCGCAGATCTCATACTTTCTAATGAAAACTCTGTCAATAACTAACTGTGTATTTCTCAATGTCATAATTTTAATATTTATTGTATTCTTCTCGTTGTTTAATCTAATGTGTTTAGTATATGTTATTTATTAATTCTTTTTTAATTATTTAACTAATTTTATTTAAATAAATTAAATAATTTATTATATTTTAAATTATTATTTATTCTATTTTATAATTAAATTGATAGATGTAATTGATAGTTGTTTTATAATTAAATTAATAGTTAAATAAAAGAATTTTTTAAACTCATGTTATAAAAACAGTTTAGTTATTTATTATTTCTTTATTAATTAATTGGTATTTTATTCAATAATAAAAAATTATTATTTATTTATCTATTTTAATAATTTAATTATTAATTCAACTAATTTAGTTGAATAAACATTTTTCTAATAGTTAATTTATTGTTTATTAATAGTAAATTGGTAGTTAATTGATATATTAAATAATAGTTTTTTCAATAATTATTAAATAATTAAAATGATAGTAAAATGAAATACTATTAAATAGTAAAAATTATAGTTATTTAATAGTTGTTTAATTACAAAGGAACCTCAATTTTTGTTGGAGAAGAAGAGCGTGATGGATTGGTAGAGATGGCGGGAGACATTTCGATGAAGTCGACTTCATTGACTCGACTTGCTAGTGTGTGTTCAGGGAGTTGAATTTTGCGGACACAAGTTGTCTCGAGATCATCATTAGAAGAGGAATAACTTTCGCTTTTGTCACGGTCGTATGAAGTACTTTCACACGAACTTTCATCGACACGCTCTTGTAAAGTTTCGACTTCATTTAAAGAAACGATACAAAAAACTGAATCGCTTGGACCTAGTATTGTGTTTTGTTTTACTATTAAATTGAACCCATCAAGTGTTGGAGTCCATATACCTATACACTTCACATGATTCTCTTTGAGAAAGAAATGAATGTTTATAAACTTCTTCCCAACAAACTCTTTGGGGACTTTAATTAGTGTTGTTGCCACTTTTTGACTTGTCCCGATGAGGTCTTTCCATATCAAACAACTGTATTTGTTCACACACATATCAATGATCATGGAGTAGATCATACTTAAAGAATATGCAACGGCTATATCTTAATAGA